CACAAAAATAATCAAAAATAATAAAACACTTGAAACTTCGGTTTTATATGTTTACTTAAACTGAATTAAAAGCGACCTTGCCCTCAGATTTCATTGTAAAAATGTCTTCAACAACATGATATCGAACTTCGTTAGATTGTAGACGAAACCTATAGTATTCCCGAGAAAAGTATTGTTCAGGAATTTTTTTAAAACTGGTCAAAGCTGAATAGAAGCTGTATTTCCTTAAGTAAACATGTAAAATATATAACCTAAAACGTTGACCACTCTTAAGAGTAATTTTGGGCTTTTTATATAAAATGTTACCTCTGATCTCGTAATTTCCATAAAAACCTTTATATGCACTAAATTCTTTAGTTTTGAACTCAAGGAACATGTAGTTGCTGGTTGAAGTCAAAACCCCAAGTGAATTAAATAAACAGAAGTAACCAAACAACGAAGACGCATTTGTAGGACCATCGTATATTTTAAGGTAGTAATCGCGGCAGGAGTAGTCCGCCAATAGAAAATCAGTAATTCTGTGGGTTAAAAAACAAACAATAAATCATTTGACATATATTAGATAATCACAATCATTTGCATAACATACATAATCGTATGACGAAAATCACTTGTATATCCGTCGTATATTTTACGGATATATTCCACAGATGAAAAAAAAATTGTATTTAACATGTATATTAATAGCTGTTAACCTATAGACAAAAATATTATATAGCCGCCGATAGCATTTCTGGTTGCCATGGAAACCACGAAAAGGTGTGAAAACGAACACCTTTTTAAACCTTTTTAATACCACAATGTATTTTAAAAATCAGATAAAAGATTTAGATTTCTCAAGCAATTGTATACATTTCTACGTTTTGTCATTGTGATAACTTGTATTCAATTTTTCATATAGCTGTGTACATACAAATATGAACAAAAATTAGGGGGTGGTGCTAAATACGTATCCATTTTTCCTAGAGTATTGGAGTAAACTTTATGTACAAAACTATTATTGAAGATGGTATAATGCTATGTCATACGGTGGTCCAGAGCCTTATCAACTTTAATTTTAATTTTTCGTACGATTGCAAAGTTGAGAAAACTTGAAAAGAAGGATGGAAAATGGCAATCTACGATTCCTCTTACATGAAAAAATAAACGACGACCATTTTGTGCGGAAGACCCATTTGACTAATAGATACATGTCGATTTTTGTTATAAGTTTCAGATAGCTTTTATATAAGCACAAATAATGTATGCAAGAGGGATTGCTTTAAAGACAATAATATATTAACTTCTTATTCACCTAGTACTACTCTAAGAACAACTATTAACTGACCAGATTAAGTTCTGTTTGTTAGCCAGTTTTCTCACTTCAATATAATGTCTATAAACACTTAAATATAACTTACACAAGTATACTAACTCTTGATAATAACCTACCACCAAATCTTGTGTTTAGCGCTTGAGGCTAAACAAACACCGACACGCCCTCCCCCCACCCCCCAAATCACCTGATAGTTGATGATGACGCGTGAGGGTCCGATGAACCATACATCACAAATGTTCATTCAACTGTGAATAACACATCCGTGTGGTAAAGGTCAAGTATTACGTGAATGCTTATCAGCGATCCAACTCGTATTTACATTAATGCTTGTAAATCTTACACGGAACAAAGATAGCGGCTGTCAGCGTAGTAGTGTAAAAATTGGGCGCCCAAACCGTATTTTACAAAAGTCGCGACCTCCCGGGCGCTGCCCATAAAGAATGTTAATTTTCCCAGCAACCTTCTCGGGAGTACTTTCATCAACTCCCCAAAGTTTCATGGCGATCGGATGAACGGTGTCAAGCCGCAATCGACTATTTTTTAACATACCGCATATACGGAAAAATCGAATGGCGTCCTAATTTAGGGCCCTAATTTAGGGTGTCACCCCTGCGAGTTTGATTTTTTTTTTATTTTCCCAGAATATTCTCAACAGCTTCCTAAAGTTTCCTGGCGATCGGATTAAAGGAGCAGTAATGCATAAACACACAAAGACACATAACATGATATATATATATATATATATATATATATATATATATATATATATATATATATATATATATATATATATATATATATATATATATATATATATATGTATATATATGTATGTATATGTTAAAATGCGTATCTTCGAATACAAACTTACTTAAGAACAATGTAAGTATTAGCATCGCCCTGTATAGTCCAGGTGTAAAACATGTTGTTTAGGTAACTCAGTGGATATCCAGGACTAGCGATGAAACCTTTAGGTTCACTGAGTGTAATCTGTGTACCTGTCATGTTGTATTTCATTAATTAATGTTCATGACGAAAATGACAGGAAATTTAGATTTAGAGGGTTCAGAAAGAAATATAGGGTAATAAAGAAAGTTATTTATACCTAGACCTTTAAATGAAGCAAGAAATATCCCACTTCCAGACGTTCTAAACACGACATGCATGTAGTTTGTTGTAGACAATGTCAGTTTTTGCGGAGTTGTACATGTGTTAACCAATGATCCACTGGATGGCGAAGGTCCATCAAATATCTCAAGGTAGCCAGAAGAACAGTTTTTATCTAACCCCACATCCATGTATGTTATGCTAAAATGTGAAAAGGTGGAAATATAAATTATGGTAGGCAGCGTTTAATAAAAACCTAGTTGTTTTTTTTATTTTGCTATCTAAAAACAGCTATTACTACTAAAAATAAAACATTTATTGCAATAGGGAACAATATCCCCGTAAACTTTTACACACATAATTTTAAAACATTTAGTTCAGTGATCAGTAGGCTTATAAAGAAGTTAGTTATTGTAAATTATTCGTCAATTATTTATTCCTGTAATTCATCTAATACATAACGATTTGTTATTATTATACGTTACAATATTTAACTAATTGAAGTAGAAAACATACTTTTTATTAAAATATTTACACTCTTTTCCAATACATTAATTTCATTTGATTCTCTGAGCGTTTGTCGCATTAATGTAGATTTTTATAAATTAAAACAAAAAGTGTTATTACTATCAAATCAAAATTAATATTACGTTTAATTCTATGGCATGTTCGATCCTAATATTTTTAAATATTTTATTCTCAAGATTATATTATGCTATAAGTGAATGTATATATATATATATATATATATATATATATATATATATATATATATATATATATATATATATATATGTATATATATATATATATATATATATATATATATATGTAACTAGTGTAGTTGCTAGAGACTACTGATAAGAACGCAATACAGTCTGACGCAACGAGTGCGGGGGGTGTGGACTGATAACGAACACAAAGCCACTGCGTAGTTCATAGTTCTGATGCAACGAAGGGAAAGGATTACGAATACGAGGGATATAATAAGACGGCGTATTGGAGAAGGGGCAGAACAGAGTTGAAGACTGAACTGTGGAGACGTGTTGCGATTTGTGAGAATAGGAATGGTGGACACGTGTATTCTGATATGTGAGGACTAGTGAGGACAGTGGAGGTCAGTTGGTTCATTGTATTCTTGTGGAACATTGATGCATTGCTATGTGGAGCATTTTCATTGATTCATGTAATAAAGAGATAAATGTAAACCTGCACTTCCGAGTATCTGTATTGTGGTCGATGTTGTGTGCTGGTCAAAGATAGCACGAGTAAATACACTCGGTAACATTTGGCGTTGTCGGTAGTGGAATTCAACTAGACCAACCGTCAGCGGCACCCATTGTCAACCTAGTTAATAACTGTGTTTCGTGTGTGAATTCGGACAATCAGGAACAGGGAAAAGTATTCTTACATAAACGGTAGGAAAGGTCTTTTTTTACTCAAAGAATTAAAATTAGAATGTCTAATCTGGACGAAAAGCCGACCCATATTGTGGTCCTGCCCAGAGAGTCCCATATAAACAAATTTTACGGGGACGGTGATCCAACCTTAACCAACAGGTTCAGTGAATAGGTCAAAGCAGCCTGGGCCTCGAGATACATGTCACCAGAGGAAAGATTAAGGTTGTTGATGAGCAGTATAGGGGAGACGGTTAGGGCGGAGGTCAAATGCCACGATAAAGCCCTCCAAACAGATCCAGATAAGGTGCTAGATCTAATTGTGGAGACCTTTGGGGAGAGACGGTCGGGATCGCAACTGCTATCGGGGTTCGTAGGTCTAAAGCAGAGACTGGCGGAGAGTGTGATGGAATATTCACACCGAATGAACAGGGCCTTTGACGCTGTAAAAGGCAAAACACTCGACATTGATGCGCGCCTGCTGAGGGACCATTTCATCGAAGGGCTAGCAACCCCTATCTTAAGGAGAGATTTGAAAGAGGAGGTGTACAAAGACCCACAGTTGACCTTCCTTCAGGTCAGGAACTCAGCGATCCGCAGGTCCGAGTATGAGGACGAATCGAACTGCTCGGTAGACAAAGTCTCTGTGCCGGAACAGAAACAATCACCACCCACAGGGACCGGCACGATGGAAACCATGATGGCTCAACTGTTGGCTCACCTGGATAAGGTTGACCAACGGTTGGAGAGGTTAGAAAGCAGGTCAACAGCAGATAATCAGGGCAAAAACTGGACAAAACATAGACAAGTTAGACAGCCGCGACCGGCCAATCTATCACTCCAGTGGACAGCTGACGGTCGACCAATCTGCCTGTACTGCTCACAACCCGGACATATGGCACGGTACTGTCAGGGAAACGACCGTCCTCTGTAAGGCAGGGCCAGGCTACAGACGGGCGAGGTTATGGCCTAAGGAACAAAATGATTGGAGTCTGTCCCGAGATGATGATCACGATCGGGGACATCGCGGTTAAGGCAATTGTTGATACAGGCTCCCAGGTGACGACAATTACGGAACATTTTTACACCAAATGGATGAAAGGAAAAGACCATAGTTTAAGGTCTGACACATGCATGCGCCTGACGGCAGCTAATGGATTAACCATTCCATACTGTGGCTATTTTCTGGCAGATGTGGTGGTGGCAGGACACAGGTTGAAGCAGGTTGGGGTTTTCGTCACGAAACACAACCCAGAGACAAATGTGTCAAATATACCTTGCTTGTTGGGCATGAACATCCTTGGCCAGTTGCCAGAACTTCTTACAAATGTTGTCGGATCGCCCACACCAGGTCGGGGATCCAAGTTGGCCAGGTTTGCTAAGACCAGTGGAAGGACATCAATCCCGGCAAACACGGTCAAGTCAATCACACTACAAATTGGTGATAGAAGCGTGAATGGTGATGTGATGATAGAACCATGTGGCGCCGCACTGAGGGCAGGCGTCGTGTTACTGCGGACATACACATCTGCGGAAAATGGACTGGTCCTAGGGTTAGTGGCAAATGTATTGGATGAGGAAATTTTTGTACCGCCTAACACTCTGGTAGGAGTACCACAGAACGTCGAGGTAAAAACTTCGGCACAGCGCATCGAACTGATCAATACCAGCAGTAATGAAGTAACAATTAGGTCGGTCAATGTGACGGCCGAGGTGAAGAAAGAGGATGACCGAACATATACATTCCCGGAAACTGAGGACCCAAAATCAAATGAATTGCTGAATAAGTACAGGGATATATTTGCCTCGTACGGGGGTGATTTGGGGTACACGGAAGTAATAAAACACCAGATACCCTTACTGCAAGACAAGCCTGTGGCGCAACCTTATCGAAGATTACCGCCAAGTCACTACTCTGCGGTGAAAGCACACCTGAACGATCTACTAAAAAAGGGAATTATTACAACCAGCACAAGCCCGTATGCGGCACCGATAGTAGTTGTAAAAAAGAAGTCAGGGGAGATAAGACTGTGTTGTGATTACCGTAAATTGAACAACATCACAAGAAGGGATGCATTCCCCTTGCCTCGTATTGATGAATGTCTTGATGCGTTGGGGGGAGCAAGATTTTTTTTCTACCTTAGATTTGGCTAGTGGCTACCACCAAGTGGCCATGCACCCCAACGATCAACATAAGACTGCATTTATTTCTCCACTAGGACTGTACGAGTGGACCCGTATGCCGTTTGGTCTAACTAATGCGCCTGCTACATTCCAGCGAGTAATGCAAAGTGCTATGAGTGACTTCCCTTTTCAAATAATGTTGGTGTACTTGGATGATATACTAGTTTACTCAAAAACTTGGGAGGACCATCTAGAAAGATTAGAACAAGTTTTTCTCCGTCTTAGAGAGATAGGAGTAAAGCTGAACCCAGACAAATGCGGCTTCGGTCTGAAATCGGTACGTTTTTTTGTGATTTCTTCTGATGGCATCGCCACTGACCCAGATAAAATTGCAGCTGTTAAAGAATGGAAACAGCCAACAACCACAGTAGAGGTCAGATCATTCTTGGGCTTTGCTTCCTATTATAGAAAATTTGTACCTGGTTTTGCAAAAATTGCCGCACCGTTGCATGACTTAGTAAACAAAATGACACTTAAACACAGTAAGGAGAAAAAGAAAGGTAAAACACAACTGATAGGGGAATTATGGACTGAGGAATGCCTGAACTCGTTTAAGCTACTGAAAAATGCTTTAACCGAGGCGCCGATATTAGGATACGCAGACTTTGACAAACCATTTCGGCTAGAAATTGACGCCAGCTCTAAAGGTCTGGGAGCTGTACTATCACAACAACAGGATCAAGGTTTCAGGGTTATTGCGTATGCCAGTCGGGCTCTGAAGGAATCAGAGAAGAACATGACAAATTACAGCGCCATGAAACTAGAGCTTTTGACATTGAAACGGGCTGTGACTGAAAAATTCAGGGACTATCTATTAGGTGCTAAATGTGTGGTATACACTGACAATAACCCCCTGAGTCACCTACAGACAGCAAGGCTGGGATCCATCGAACAGCGATGGGCAGCAGAATTGGCACTCTTTGACCTAGAGATAAAATATCGCCCAGGGCAGTCCAATGGCAATGCTGACGCTTTATCCAGGAATCCTTACGAGCGACCGGGCGATGAGGAAGAAACGCTGACAGGAATATGTGAGGTCAGAGCGTCAACAGATATCCCTCACGGGGTGCAAGTGATGCAAAACGGGCAGACCGCGGTGGAGCACACATCCACAGAGCCCCGACATATGGACATCAGTGATTTTAATTGCCTTAATCATAAAGAGATAAGAGAGGCCCAGAGAACGGATAGTGGGTTACAGCCGCTGTTGAAATACGTCCAGGAACAAAAATTCCCAAGAAGAAGGGAAAGAGAACAGTTTGGTCGGGAAACAAAGAAACTACTGAGTCAGTGGGACCGTCTCAGTATAAAGGATGGTGTTCTCATGCGGAGAATTCATGACCAAATAGACGGGACAATACACCAGGTGGTGGTGCCTGGACAGTTACGAGAAAAGGTGCTAAAGTTGGCACACGACAGGGCGGGACACCAGGGTCAGGACAGGACGCACAAAATATTACGACGGCGGTGCTACTGGCCCAATATGGAGATGGAGGTCAAACGCCATTGTGAGACTTGTGTGAGGTGTCAGCATGCGAAAATGCCAGTTGTCAAAATGAGACAGCCATCAGGACACTTACTGGCGATAAAACCCCTAGAGATTGTGGCTATGGACTTTACGTCGTTGGAGCAAGCATCGGATGGGACGGAACATGTGTTGGTGATGACTGACGTATTCACCAAATGGACTGTCGCGGCGCCTACACGAGATCAGACGGCCAAAACAGTGGCAAAGGTCTTAATAGAACACTGGTTCATCAAATATGGCATACCAAGACAATTACACTCTGACCAAGGAAGGGCCTTTGAGTCAGAAGTAATTAACCAACTGTGCAGCCACTACGGGATCAACAAATCTAGAACAACCACATATAATCCTAAAGGAAACGGACAGTGCGAGCGGTTCAACCGCAGCATGCATGATTTGCTGCGGACTCTAGAACCTGAACAGAAAAAACGTTGGCCTGATTTTCTCCCAGAGTTGGTATACCTATACAACTGCACCCCCCCCCCCCCCCATGCCACAACCGGCCTTTCGCCACACATGTTACTGTTCGGACGGGAGGCTCGACTCCCTCTTGACTTGTTCCTAGGAAAAAAGGAAAGCATGACTGGCTCATACACCGCACTGGAATATGTGAATGAACATATGAGACGAATTAGAGAAATGTACAGGGTGGTACAAGAAAGACTAGAACATGAAGCACGGCGAAGAGAACCGCTGGTATAGACAAAAGACCCGCCACTCCAACTAAACGACAAAGTATTACTGCGTAACCACCCATTAGGCAGAAACAAAATCCACGACCTCTGGGGACAGGAGGTATGGCAAGTCGTGGAGATGCCTAAAGTAGCCGGTGGCCCCTTTAAAATAAGACCCACCAATCACACCAAACCGGATCGTTGGGCGAATATTACTCAATTAAAGAAATATTGGCATAGTCAAGAAGAGCATTTACACACAAGGAAACCTAAGACAATTAGGGAACCAGAAACTACAACGGAAATTCACATACCCATCCCGGAACCATGTCACCATCAACGGCACAACAGCGATACACAAGTGGAGGATAACTGCAACAATGAGGACCCCGGTCCTCCCAGAAGCAGAGAGACAGTAGAACATCAGATAAGTGGTCCGCGGAGAAGTTTGAGGAACAGAAAGAATACGAAATGTTTCGTCAGCAACCATCAATTCTTTCATGGTCGCGCTGGGATGAGAACAGACTGTTCAAAAGCTACAAAAGTGAACTGGTGATGACACCAAACGAAAAAAGGCGGGGGTTGATGTGAATTCTAGAACTGCTTTGTGTCTGATGAATATGATGTAGACACATTTGATATGTTGAAATAGGGATAACTGTCAATCTTATACGAATGTGACGACATTGACAGTTAGTGGAACAGTAAATTTTTTTTTACGGTGTTGCGTTTGACATTGGAGGAGTGCACCTGCCAAGAGTTATTTGTGGTTGAAAACACACAAAAAAAAAGGCGGGGGTGGATGTAACTAGTGTAGTTACTAGAGACTATTGATAAGAACGCAATACAGTCTGACGCAACGAGTGCGGGGGGTGTGGACTGATAACGAACACAAAGCCACTGCGTAGTTCATAGTTCTGATGCAACGAAGGGAAAGAATTACGAATACTAGGGAACAAAACTAAACACAACACAAACGAACGCAAAAAAAAACACAAACGAAAAAACAAACACAACACTCATAACATAACATAAACTCAATTTAAATGTAATCATAAAGGCATATTGCTCACAGTCTAGCCCGTAGACTTCCACCCTGCCCCACCCCGCAAATTTTTTCCAACCCACATTGGCGCCCCCTAAGGTCGGCGCCCGGGGACATATGCCCCCCCCCCCTTTTGCTACGCCTCTGCTATAAAACCCCTAGCTTGTCCGCAAACCGAAAGATAGAATAATAATTAGTAAACAATATTCTAAACAGTATTTAGAATATCCGTGTTTTACCGACCATATTGCACTTTATAAATTCATGCATTTTTTTCAGTACTTTTTAAAATTTACAATAAAGTTTCATGACTAAAACCATTGCGCACCCAATGAACGTGATGGTGCGTCTATAATATTGCGGAATAGTTGATAAAAAATTATAATTAGTAAACAGTACATTCAGTGAATAAAATAAATAAAATATAGCCTTTTATCAATCAATGCTAATAATAATATTCCAACAATAATGTACTCTTACACGTCTGCATAATTTGCATTCACATTTTGCTAATTATATTATTCCAAAAATTATTCCGTCTTGCAGATTTTGCATTCACATTTTTAGCGTGAGTTCAATTTATCTTTGAATTACCTCCCTTGGCAAAATTACTAAACAGTTTAATTAGATTTTTCTAACCTACAGTTATTATGTTATTGAAATGAATCAACTTTTTCTAGGAATATAAACGAAAATGATATTTGACATTAATACTTTTAATATGTTTTAGCATTTAATATTCTCTTTACGTTATGCAAAATTGTACAAACAGTGGAAATTATAAAATAGCTCTATGCCGTTATATAAACAAACCCTACTCTATTACTTATATTAAGACACTGCGGTGCACTGAAAAGCACTGCATGCTGCGTTGTTTACTTTTATGGTTCCAAAATCTATAGCGATGACAGAAGGAAGGAAGGAAGGACTGACACACGCTCAGCCCGCTTATATTATAGACTAGCTGCATCCCGTGCTCCGCCACGGTAAATCTTTTTTA